TAATTTTAGTAAAGCCTACTTAGAAGAGAATAAATATAAATATATTAATAAAGTTCTAGATTTAATAAGCAAAGAAGCTAAAATTTTGGATAATAATTAACATTTTTCAAATTTGACTTTTGTTTCTACTTAACTTTAGTTCAAATCTTTTTCTTTAATCTTGTTTATAACTTGGCATTCTTTTTTTCAAACCATTTTAAAAATTACGATTTCTAAAATATGATGGTGTAAAATTATATCAGTAGGTATTTCGCAGTTCTATTGTGCGAGATGCAAGCAGTCTTTTTATAGTGATCTTTTGCCATCGGAATAGTTATAGTCGAATTGAAAAGTTGGGTTCTCGGGAGGTAAGTTTTATCGAGACATAAAAAAGCCTTCGATTATTCGATAATTACTCCCTTGACTACTTCCCTATCTTTAAAATGTGTCCTTCCTCACCCCACCAAAATATTGTTTACAGTCCTTACGGAGACAAATACCCATTATAAAAGGTTAATTTTTCTTTACATTTAAAGCATTCTTTCATAATATTATTTTAACTCTTTTTTACTTGCTTTTTCCTTCTCCTCTTTTAGGTGATTTACAACGGTTTCTTTAATGTTCTCTATGATTTTTTTAAGTTCTTGTTTTTTGGCTGGGTCAGTTTCAGAATTAAAAGCCTCCTCTGTTCTCTTTAAATCATGTTTTATTTGTCCTAGTTTTAAAATTTCCATCTCTAAACATTTTTTACAAAAAGGATTTTCAGCCCAAAAGTATCCACACCTTATTTCTATTTGTTGACCAGGAATATAATTTTTATTACATGCCTTACATTTTCATCTTGATTTCCTTTTAGGATATCCAATCATTCATAACATATTATTGTCAAAGGTTATTTAAAAATTTTAGTTGTTTTTCTTTCAATAGTTCTATACTTTGTTTTTGATAGTCAATTATCATTAAGTCTTTTTCTCTTTCCTCAATTATCTCTCTTTGCTTTTCTAAACTAGGGATTGGTATTTGAATTTCCCTTAAAGAATTAGCACTAAAAACAGGTTGAGCCGTGCCTTTGGTTAATTCTCTTACTTGCCTATCCCACTCTTGGGTTTGCGAAAATCATAGAAAGTATTTTGGCAATAATAACTCCTTGTTAAACTTAACTTTTACTAAATTAGAAGACAAGACCGCTTTTTCTTCTTCAAAAACGCCTGCCCGAGCAGGAAGGGCTTGTCGAGATACCACAATATCTCCTTTTGATAAAAACTTGTCGGTCTTAAACTCTTTTGATAAGTCAGTATATTTTAAATCTTTTTCTGAAATATTTCCATACTCGTCGAGGTCTGTGATTCTAACCAGTTTATATTTTCCTTTGTCTTCACCTTTTCCATCATAATTCCCATATTCAAAACTGGCAATCTCTCCCAACCTTTTAATTGTTGTTTCCTCCTCATAAGAGAGAGAGAGAGAGAGAGAGAGAGAGAGGAATTTAAGTTGTCGATCGTTTTTTGTGCGTTTTGGATATTCTTTTTGATATTGTCCAACTCTTGAATAACCCTTTTTTGTTCTTCTAAGGAGGGAACTGGAACAATTATTTTAGCAAAGTTTTCAAAACTTAAACTTTGTCTGACACTACCAAAACAAAAATTTTTTACCTGCTCTTTAAATTTCTCAGACTGAAAGAGACAAAAAAGATATTGAGGAACAACTTTTTCTTTATTTTTGACTTTAAAAGCCACGTAAATTGGACTAACGCAACCAATTTTTTCACTATCATTATAGTTAATAGAACCTACGTTAATCCGAGGTGGACTATAAGCAAAATTTTGAGGAGGAACTAGTTTGTAATTTGAAACATCTTTCGAGGCTACTCTTTCAGAAAAATTTTCTTCTGAAAGAACAAATCCGCGGTCATTAGTGACACTCCACACTGGAGCATTAACGCTATTTCTAATAGTTAATTCTTCAACTAATTCTCCCAAAGAAATTAATTGTTGCTGAGTTTCGAAAGTAAATTTTTTGTAAATGTTAGGAATACTGACATAGTTATTGTTTCTAATAACTTCTACATCTAATTTTTGAAAGCCATTTTTTAGTTTTTCCTCTTCATTGCTATCTTTGAAATTTCAAAAAATATCAAAATCATTTTTTCCTTCTTTTTTTTCTCGTTTAGTGTTAGCCGTATAGCCATCATTTTGAACAGTAAAATGTCAAATTCTATTCTGTTCTCTTTTTTTAGTCAAATAGAGGATGACCGCTTTGGCTTCGGCATAGGGTTTAAAAGCATAATTAGGTAAAGCAACAATATATTCAACATATCAATTATCATAAATATGCTTTCTTAATTCAGTAAATTTTCGGTCAGTTAAAACCCCTTCCAAGGTTATTAAAGCTACTCTTCTGTCTCCATAATTTTTGTTGACCGCGTCTAAAACATGTTCGATACACAAACTATTGCCGTTGGCTTTTCCAAGCAAATATAAATCTTGGCACTCATCAAAAGGACCTTTCAGAGAAAAAGGCATATTAGTTATCACAATATCGTATTTACCATGTGCAGGATTTTCTAAACTATCTAACTTTTTAATGTTATTATGACCATCACCAGTTAAAATCATATTCATTTTAGCAACTCGAGCAATTCTAGTTAACTCATTACCATAAAGTACTCCTTCTTTCAATCTTTTCAATTTTCCTTTATCATTCTTAGGAATTTTTTCGTAAAGGTAATGAAAAGTCTTAATTAGAATGCCGCCTGTGCCACAAAAAGGGTCATAAATACTCTCATTAATATTCGGGTTAACCAATCTTACTAAAAAATCGACAATGTGGCGAGGAGTAAAATATTGTTCCCAAATCTTGCTTATCTTTTTTTAATGCTTCTTTAAGGAAATATTCAAAAGCATCTCCTTTTATATCAGACTTGATGCTACTAAGATGTAAAGAGGTCATCTTATCAATAATTCTTTTTAAAATTGCTGGCTTTTTTACTAGAAGAGGGTTAAAAATATCCTCCCCATATTTACTTTGGAAGCAACAAAATTTTTCTTTTTCGTGCTTTCCTCCTTTACAAGCTAGAGCATTATTCACATGGTCTAATAATTCATCACCCTCTTTATTTTTAAAAGCTTCTCAACGCAAATGAAAGGGAATAATTGTTTCTGGCGAACGACGCTTGTCTTTGTCAGCTTTTTCCTCATCTTCACTTAAAAGTTTTAGAAATAGAACACTACAAAATTCACTAAATCGTTCATCTCCCTCCGTTAACCCGGCTGCTCTTAACTGGTTATTAGCAAAAGAAAAAATTTGAATTAATTGACGCCGATGCTCTACTACAATTATTTCTGTTGGGTTATATTCGTTGATGTTGGTATAGTGTAATGCTGTTCTTTCATCTAACAAAAAATCAACTTCTTTTTTGTCTAAATATAAAGGTTTATTAATTTTTAAATGTCAAGTTTTAATAATTTTCTTTCTAGGTGAACCAATAATTGCATAAGCAATGGGAGTATTTCGTTTGCGAGCATAATTTTTTGCTTGCTCCAAAGCATCCTCTAAATTTTGACCCGTTCTTTTCGCTTCAATCGCAATTAAAGGGTTTAATCAGTCTTTTGGTTTGAGAATATAATCAGCAAAGGTTTTTGAAGAATATTCTTCGCCAAAGACATTTTTATTTTTACCAGTAAGTTTTCAACCTTTGTTTTTTAACTCCTCATCAATTTCCATACGGATATCGGCTTCGGTTAGTTTTGGCATAATATCAACTACTTCATTCGGCTACTGTAATCCTCTACTGCTAATTTTTCATACTGTTTTAGACTTTGTTTGGCTATCTTTCCATGAAGTTTACTAAGTAATAAAAATTCAATTCTTTTTTTTTTGATGGGTTGTAATTCTCCTACCTCCATGTTTTTTGAACAGTTATAGAGAGCAATTTCTTTCTCATAAGGGGATCTATGACTTTTTAAAACTACCTCCATTTTTTTAAAGGTAGAGCATTTGCCCGCTTTCTCTCATACTGACGAACTTTTACCACAATGAGGAAATTTTTTTAGTTTTGATACCATAACTTCTATATCTATAATTTTAATGAGTTTATCTTATACACTAATCATATTTAGTATAGCAAGAAAAGGACTAATTAATTATAACGGGTTTTATTTTACAAAGTAAAATAAAAATTATATGTGGGTTATCTTGCCAAAATCATCCACGAACATAAATTAGGAAATAACCGCTTGTGAAAGTATAATATTTGCCATTAGTAATTTAAAAGAAAATGGGAGCTATTCATTGTGCTAATTACTTTGATAGAAAGGATGTCAAAATTGTTAAATACTAACTTTAATTCTAACCTTGTAATATTTAGAACAGTTTTTAACTTATACTGTAGAGCCAGTTGAACCAATGAAAGATAAAAAAATAAGAAAACAAATAAATAATTTATCTTTTATTAACTGTTTTTTTCTCTAGTTGCTGAATTATTTTTTCCACGCTTTCAATCGGAGACAAATGGGTAGTGTCTAATTCCCAACTATCAGGTGTTTTTATTAGCGGAGAAATCTTTCTCTCTTTATCCCGTTCATCCCTTGCTTGCAATTCCTTTCTCACTTCTTTGGAACTTAACTTTTCTTTATATTGGTTACTCCTTCGAATGGTTCTTTCTTCTAGACTAGCAGTTAGAAAAACTTTAACTTTAGCCTCTGGCAAAACTTCGGAAGTGATATCCCGTCCTACTACTACCCAACCCTTTTCCTGAACTAATTTCCGTTGAAATTCCAAAATAATTTTCCGCAATTCGGGTTGCGGAGATAACCGAGAAGCTAAATCACTAACCATTGGTGAACTAAGTGGTTGACGCTCTTTTTCTAAATTAGAGACCACTTTTTCTTTATTCTTTTCTAACCACTCCTTTCAAAGTTGAAGCAATTTTTCTTTCCCGCTCACCAGAGGATTATTTTGCTGGTAAAACAAGGCAAAATGGCGGTATAATAAACCACTATCTAAAAACTGGTAATTTAGTCTTTCGGCTAATAATCGACCAATAGTAGTTTTTCCCGAACCTACTGAACCATCGATCGCAATATTAATTTTTAGCATTTTTTTTCGAATCAGTGTCTCAAAACACTATTACTAACCCAATTCCAATTGCTAAGATTAATGCTCCTCCACCAATATATCAATATTTTCACTCATCCCAATGGCTTGGTGGCTTAACGGCAATACTGCCGATTGCTAATTCTTGCTGTTCCTTTTCTGCCTTTTCTCACCAAGTTTTAAAGTCTGAAAAGTCAGGAGAATTTTTAATCATGGTTTCAATCTTTTTCATTATCTCATAAAAAAGTTGTCCGTGACCACCTCCTTCTTCGCCCTCATACTCTCCCTTAATATTACCAACTATCGCATGAGCCAATTCGTGAGCCATGGTTTCTAAACATTCTTCAAAACAAATATCATGATAAGTTCGACCACCTTTATCAGTGACCTCCGTTAATCATTCCTCATAACCTAATCGGTTGAAAAACATTTTCTTTTCAAATCCAATCTTTATGTCACGACAATTATCACCAATCGTTTTAACTAAATAGTATTCCGACGGAATTATTGAACCCTCTACTGGGTTAGTAGTGTCTTTTTCTAATTTTACCTTATGATTTTGGTCAGAAACGAAACTTACTCCATCAGAGGTGGTTAATCCAAAGACCTCCTTACCCTCGCTAGAATTCTTTTTCTCCTTCTCGGTCAAGAATCCAGAATAGCCATTAAACTTAATTTTTAAAGTCTGAGAGTAGTCGATGGTTTTACTAGTTCCATCTTTTTGCTGAAAAACACTTTTTTTTTTATATTCATTAATCAGTTCAGGAGTGAGTTCAGTCACTTTCTTCCCCTTATGTCATACTGGCACCACGAATTCAGTCAAACGGGGATATTTTCCTGGTTCATTACCAATTAATTCTTGTTCCGCTTGAGTATATCATTTCGTAATTCATTTGTTAACTTCTTCTTTTATTAATACTGCCTCTTGGTCTGAAACATCTCACACTTTTTGAATTTGTTCTTGTTTTTTTAGTTCTTCTAGAGGGCGACTAACGGAGGTTCTATATTTCAGTCTTGTTGTTATTTTACCTTGTTCATAAAGACCAGCATAGATCTTGGCTAAAACGGTCGGATTTTCTTTTTCAATCTCTTTCATGTTGAAACCTTGCAAATTTTCCGCCCATTTCTCATTAATCATCGCCAATTCCTTTTCCACTTCTTTCTTTTCTTGGTTAGTCAAAGTTCGCCCTCGCATTTCACCGGCTAAAATTCTTTTTGCAGTTTTGCGACGGTTTCGATTGCCTTGGATTAATTTAATTACCTCATCAGCGGTGGGAGAAACTGAAAATTTATCTAATTCTTTTTCATAATTCTGTTCTCATTGCTTTTCTTGGTTATTACGGTTATCATATCAGTATCATACCAAACCGCCAACTAATAAAGCAACCAACATGAACAAAAGAAGATAAATTAAGGCATCACTACCTGGTTCTTTTTTCTTATTTGGTGATAAATTGTCGTCAGTGTTCTTCATATAAACTATTTAAATAAATTTTAAGGTTGGTGATACTTATCCGTTCCACTTCTTGTTTCATGCTATTACGGTGGCGGAGGGTAACCGTGTTGTCTTGGAGGGTTTGCTTATCAAGTGTAAGACAATAATAGGTGCCAATGGCATCTTGGCGGCGATAGCGGTTGCCAATATTGCCAGTTTCTTCATAAGCAACTGAAAAAAGAGGATTTTTCAGTAATTCGCAATATAACTGGTGAGATTTTTCTCGTAAAGACTTTTCCAAAGGAATTACTGCCACTAAATAGGGTGCTAACAACGGAGATAATTTTAATACTTCTCGTTCACTTTCCTCACCTTGAGCATTTTTAATGGTTTCTTTCTGATAACTGTCTTCTAAGATGGCTAACATTAATCTTTCTACTCCAAAAGAACTTTCTACTACTTCGGGAATAATTCCATTAATCCGAAAATCTTTTCCGGAATGTTGACGGTGCTGGGATAAGTCATAGTTGCCGCGATGGCTATTGCTACATAATTCTCCCCAACCGAAGTGGTATTGAAAGTAAAGGTCTTGGGTTTTTTTAGCATAATGGGGTAGTTCTTCATTTTTCAAGTCTACTCGTTTAAGTTTTTTTTGGTCATTGACAATAATCTTTTGGAGGAAATTTCAGGCTTTTTCAATTCAATGATTTCATCATTTTTCACTTTCCTCTGACTGACAAAAAAATTCTAACTCCATTTGTTCAAATTCACGGGTGCGGAAAATTCCGTGGTGGAGAGTAATTTCATTCCGAAAACTCTTGCCCATTTGACCAATTCCAAATGGTAGTGGTCGATGAGTGCTTCTTTGAATAGAGGGAAAATTAACAAATATTCCTTGGCAAGTTTCTGGACGTAAATAAACTATATTTTCTTTTCCCTCCGTGATTTCTAAATTGGTGGTTAAGAGCAGGTTGAATTGACGTGGAGAGCAAAATTTATTCTTTCCACATTTGAGGCAATTATCGCTTACCAAATAATTATCTTGGTCTTTTTTTTCTAAAAAACGAATATATTCTTCTTCCGAAATTAATTTATCAAGGCGATACCTTTTTTGGCAGTTTAGACATTCTACCATTCAATCATGAAAATTCTGGCGATGACCAGAGGCTTCTAAAACCTGCGGGTGAGTAATTATTTGACTATCGCAACCGATATTATAAGGACTGCTGGAAATAAAATACTTTCACCACAGGTTTTTTAAATTTCTTTTTAATTCAACTCCATAAGACCCTAAATCTCAGGACTTCGCTAAACCACCATAAATTTCTGCATTGGGTAAAATAAATCCACAATGTTTGAGATAGGTGGTTAGATCCTTTTCCTTGACCGAAATACTGTTTAAACTCTCCTCCGCCATTTATAATTTTCTATTTTTTGTTTCGGTTAACTTGCTTATTTCTAATTATTAGAGCAGTCATTACTACGGTTATCATCAAAAGACCCAAACCAACCGGGATAATTACTTCGGAACGGAATGGACTTGATTTAGTTGACTGATTAGTATTTTGCGAAACAATTTCTAACTTGCTAAGAGTTTGTTCAATTTCCTTCTTTTTACTTTGATAGGCTTTTTGTTGGTAAGGATTAATGCTAATTTTTAGACTTCAAAGACCATTTTTCACCTCTTTTAATTGGCTTTTTAACTTACTACTCGCCCCCTTTAATAAATTTTGGGCTTGGGTCAATAAATTATTCGTTTCTACATTAGCTACTTCTTGACTAACTTCTTCGCTAATTTCTTCTTCAATACTCCTCACTTCCGTATCACTAGTAACTTCGCCATTTTCTAGTTGAGCCAACTTGGTATTTATTTTTTCACCTAACTTAGTAATTTCCACCTTAAACTCATTAATTTTTTGCCGGATAATTTGGGCAATCATTTTACCGTATCCTTGGGGGTCAGATTTAGCAGCTTCATCTTTTTTCTCTTTAACCTGTTCTTTTTGACTCTCATAAACTCCTCCTTGGTTTTTTAGTCTTTCGATATCGGCTAAACTTTGTTTTTTTTCGGCCTCATTTTTGCTATTAAAATTAGTTAAGTCATTGACCAATTTATTGGAATTTTTTTCATCACTTTTGGCTTGGTTTTGTTTAATTTCCTCTTCAATTTTTGTCCGTTTTGGCTCTCGGGAATGATTATTATCCTCATTCTCATTTTTTCTTTTCTTATTGTTGCCGCTGTCGTTTCCTGGTTTTCCTTGATCTGGACTACTTTGGTTAGTTGAACCTCAATTAATTTCGCCAGTATCTAAGTCATATTTTCATCCTTGTCCGTTATTAACACTGGTATAATGAATACAATCTTTTAACCCTTTAAAAAATTCGCCATTTTCTTGTCAAGGTATATAAGTTTTATATTCTTCCTTTTCTACTTTACTGCCATCCTTGGCTATTTTTATCAAATCATTTAGTGCTTGCACAGCATCCTCAAAATCCTCCTTGCTCTTGTTACCATATCCGAATACAAATAATTTCTTTTTAGCCTCTCCGGCTTGGGTAATGGCTTTCCTTACTCTTTGGCGATCATTCCCTTGTGAAGCAGCCTGTTTTTTATCAGGATGAGGAAACTCCGGATTTTCATCAACTACTTTTAATTTGGGTATTGCACTTCCTCCATCTGAACCTATTACTAATTTGCCCTTTTCTAATTCAGAAACCGTTTGACTTTGAAAATTTGAGGTTCATCTAATATTACTGATAATTAAATCCTTATCCTTATGTGATCCCGCACCTAAATAAGCATTATAGTCTCCTAATTGACTAACATTGAAAGGCATCTTAATTGAATTAACTTTGGGAGTATAGGAGTTTTCTACTAATCCTTTTTCTTCGATCTTAATTTTGAAAATACCATCTCTAGCATCACCTAGTTCAGTTAATTTAAAACGAAACTCGGTCGGTAGTTCTCATTCTTTTAACCCTCTTACCGCATTTTTTTTAAGGACTAAGTAATTTTCATTCCCTCAACCACTTGTTGATCTTTTCACTTCTATTTCGCTCTCATTTAGTTCTATTTCTACTGCTTTTCAAGCCGCTCCGGTGCTATATCTTTGTGTAAAATCACGGATAAATTTTTTAAATTGTCCTTTGATGACTTTATCTTCCACTTTTATTCCTGAAATTAGTTCTCCTTTATAATTAAATGATTCTAATTTTATAACCGAAGTAGATGTAAAATCATTCTCATCTGTTTTTACCCAGTTGTTAATTTTTATAGTTGTCATATGTTATATTATTTAAATATTTGTATTTTTTTATGTTTTTTTGCTAATTTAAACAGTTTAGCATCTGGTTTACCAATTCTTTTGTTTTAATATTCTAATGGTAGAACTGGTCAAGAAATCCGCAGATAATTAAAATCTGCAAGACTATTAGGAAAAACCTAATAACCTAATTAGAATATTACTTTGCCCTGTTTTACTTCCGGTAAAGTTCATAATTAACCTTTTTGTATACCAAAAGAGTTTACTACAAAAGTGTGAAGTCATTTTTTACTTTCTTTTTCCGGATAAAAGAAAGTGGGATAAATAAGAACCCTTAAATTTATTTTTATTATATACTTAAATATAGTTATATTTTATATTATATGTTATGTCACACTTCCAACTATCCTTCGAAAATGAAGATTAGCATTAATATGCTATTTAAATCTGTTTATTTTCTTTCGCTTTTTAGTAATCAAAACCGCCACCAGTATTAAAGTTAAAACGGCTCCAATTCCCACCACTCAACTAGTGGGGAAGTTATTGTTTTTAGCAGTATTAGAATTATCACTGGCAATACTCTCTAAATCCCTTAACAAGGCTTCGGCTTTATTTTTAGCATGTTTAAAGGCTTGTTGAACATGTAAGTTAGAATTATTTTCGGCCTTTTTGATTTCCTGTTTAATTTGCTCTACTTTCTTCTCAAATCCGATTTTATTGTTTTTCTTTAACAATCTAGCCTTAGTTTTTACTCATTTAGCTTGGGCTTTTATTCACTTTCAAAGACTTCAAGTTTTTTTCTTAACATTAAGTTTTTCTTCAATTTGCTGAGCGATTTCTTCTTGCTTTTGCCGTTCAGTAATTTCTCCTGCTAAAAATTGTTTTTCCTCCTCATTATACTTTATCTCTGAAATGGACTCCAACTCGGCCGCTAATTCTTTATTTTCCGCTTCCAATTCCAATGCTTCCTCTTCCTTTTTTACTCAATCATTAAAGTGGTTAAAATAAAGTTCGGGGTCATTATCAATTAATTTTTTCTTCGCTCTTTCTGCTTTAACTTGGAGTTCAGCCTCTCCTAAACTTCTTTGGATGGTTTGGAAATGGTTATCAAAATTCCTAGCATCTACTGTCTCTTCTAAAATAGCATCTAAGTCAACGTTTTGTTTCTTAATTTTTCTTTTCTCTCTAATATCAATACTAACCCTAGCGCGAATAGCATTCATTTTGTTCCAACTATCAGTCGCTTTCATTTGTTCTACTCAATTACGATTTTCGACCTCTAAATCCTCCTCTTTAACTACTGGTTCTTTGTTTAAAAGGTTCATAACATATTTAACATTACTTTCTCTAGAACCTTCAATAAATTTAGGGTCTTCATGACCTTCTTTCAAGTTATCGTATTTTGGTTTATTATTATCAGCAGAGCCAACCGAACTATTATCAGTATTTTCCGCCTCCCCTTTTACTTCATCTTCATTATATTCATCAAAAATAGAACTTACTTCGCTATAATCATCACTGGTATCGCTATCAGTCTCATTATCGCTGTTTTCACTCACCTTATCATTAGTAGTTGAAGCAGATGGTTGAGCACTTTCGACTTTCTTAATTCCATTTTCAAAAGTTTCTTCTAATTTTCTTAATAAATCGGCTTTTTTTTGTCCGAAAGATAATAATTCGTCATTTAAATCATCAATTTCCCGCTCTAATCTTTGGCGAAAAGCTGCTACTGCATTAGTTATTACATGACCTGATTCTTTCACTACAACCCTCTTGACATGCGAATTTCAACAAAATTCGCAATTTTGAAGGTCGTGTAGGATATGCCCAGCCTTAGCATTTTCTTGGGTCAATTGGTCTTCTTTTCATTTCTCTGAACCTCTTTTGTTTCTTTCTAAGGATATTTCTAATTCTAAATCTTTAATTCTTGCTAATAAATTGTCCCTCAACATGCTGATGGCAGTTTTTTTAAATCACGAGTTATCATTTATCTCTTTCGTAACTTTATCAAAATTCACCAAATTTTCTTTAAATTTTTCTAATTTCTTATCATTTTTCCACCCGAAAACTTCCATCCTATCTTCATTTATTGTCATTGAATCAACTTTAAACCACACATTTTTTAATTCTTTGCTTAGCAATCTACCTTCTTCTTTCAACATTTCATTAATTTCATCTTCCATGTTTGATATTTTTCTTTTAATTGAAGAATTAATAATTTGGTTTATCAAATTACCATTCTCATTAGGATAACCAACATACTTTTTAATGATAATAGGTATATATTTTTCTATTATCTCATCTTTAAGTTCTGTCGTGGAAATAAAATTATTTCCTTCATTAGTCTTTCGCAAATCCTCAAAACCTTTTTTAATCCTTGCTAGGATCTCTATTTTTTTCTCCCGCAATGGGTCATTTGGTTTAATTTTACTTGTATCGTATATTGACATAACATTTATTATTATTAATTTATATTTTATATTTAATGGTCATAACTCTACCGGTTTTAATTCTCCGCAAAAATTATTGAATGACCTGGCTCAAATCAAACAAGTAAACAAGTCTGACCTTAAATCATTTTTAGTCCAAGACCACACTTCCTTTACAGTTTTATCAGTCTCTTGTAAACATATTGAATCGACCAATCGAATTAGTGTTACCTTATCTAAAAACTCGGCACAATCCTTTTATCTAGACCAACCTAAAAAAACTAAACCAGTTGAGTTAGCAACTCCCCCAACTAAACCCGATGACTGTCTCCAAGATGCTCAAAATTGTGTTTACTTTTCCTTTTTTAACTCGAAAGAAAAGAAACTCTACACCCGCTTCAAAGACAAAGTCGAAGCCAACTTTGAGGGAACCCAAGCTCAGCAACCCCTGTTATTTTTAACCCTCACTTTTAACACTAAACATGACAATTATTCGGCTTTTACTACTAATTGGAATCCGGAAGATCCCGTTTGAGAGCCAATTAGTAAAAAAAACTCCTGATTAAAAGACTGAGCCACTAATTTTGACCCCCAAGCGGAGCCTTTAAAAGTCAAAATTGAAAAAGTCCCTTCCACTGTTAGCCAATATGACTCCGCTAACTACTATCTCGCTCTTTTTTTACGTCGGATTCGTCGTCTCTGAAAACCCTCCAAATGAAAATGAACCGTGGTCTCCGAATTACAAAAAAATGGCGTTTGACACTTCCATTTACTCTCTACTCCGATTGTCCCCTATTCCCATAAATGCACTTTGGACAAGAATTTTACCTCTTGCTGAAACTGCCGAGCCTACATTTCCCAATTATGACCTTATGGAAGAGTAGAGTCTAGAAGTCCCGGACATAAAACCATCTCTTCTTACTTAGCTAAATACCTCAGCAAGTCCTTCCATTTACGCTCCCTCTACGCTCAACACGGTTTAAAAGACAAAAAAAGAACTTATCGCTTTTATCT